ATTTTTTTTTTTTTTTTTTTTTTTTTTTTTTTTATTAAGATTCAAGAAGACACAAAAGAAGCACTGGAGGCACAGGTAAATCATAATACCACCTCGAGGGTTTAGGGTTTAGGGTTTAGGGTTTAGTAGGGTTTAGGGTTTAGGGTTTAGGGTTTGTGTTGTGCATACACCTCAGGCACGTGCAGCATTATCCGTAGTAGAGGAGAGGAGTTATAAATTATACGAGCAGCAGCAGCAAATAAAAGAATTTGCTGCTGATGCTGCAGCACGAGTGCAGCAATTAGAGGATACAGTCGAAGGAATGCAGCAGGTAAAACCCTAAAAAGACCCTAAATCGCGGTTTAGGGTTTAGGGTTTAGGGTTTAGGGTTTAGGGTTTAGGGTTTGGTACATGCAAACATTTTTCTCCCTGAATTTTTTCCCTCAAGATTTAATTTTCCTTATAATTATGAATATTTATTTTTTAGTGTTTATTTTATTTTTAGGGTTTAGGGTTTTCTTAGGGTTTACAAATTTTTTAGGGTTTAGGGTTTAGGGTTTAGGGTTTAGGGTTTAGGGTTTAGGGTTTAGGGTTTGCGTGGCTGCAGGGTTTTGGCGGTTTATTAAGCCGATTAAATTATTCAATTTCTGCCAATCGTTTGTCTTTGGCAATTTCTTCGTTAACTTCTGCGGTGTATAGGCAGCTACCTCTTAATAAAGCATTAAAAGAATTAAAAGAGGTATTTATTTATTTATTTATTTATTATATTTATTTATTTATTTTATTTATTTATTTATTTATTTATTTATTTATTTATTTATTTGTTTATTTATGCAGGCAGGAGAAGAAGACGAATTAATAGATTTAATATTTTCTTCTTTTTCTCCTTTTATTCCTCATTTCTCTTTTTATCCAATTCTTTCTCCTCCTGCTGCAGTAGTAAGTCATTATTTATTTATTTATTTTATTTATTTATTTATTTATATTTATTTATTAATTTATTTATTTATATTTATTTATTTATTTATATTTATTTATTTATTTATTTATGCAGGAGATGATAAATAATACAATAAAAAAGAGTAAAAAAACAATATTTATAATGGATAATTACGGTGTATTTTCTCATTTATTTTGTTTCTTATTGGGGTGTATGTACACCTCATTCCCTTCTTCTTTTTCTTCCTCTTTTTCTTCTTTTTCTTCTTTTTCTTCTTCTTCTTCTCCTTTAATTAATAATCTACAAGCTCTACATCAAGCACAAATGCATGCAGACAGAGGTTCGATCTTGCTGCACCTGCTGCTGCTGCTGTTGCTGTTGCTGCTAGTCCTGCTGCTGCTGCTGCTGTTGCTAGTCCTGCTGCTGCTACAACTAGCCTTCTGTGTCTCTGTTGGCTGTTGCTCCTGCTCCTGCTCCTGCTGCTGCTGCTGCACCTGCTGCTGCTGCTGCTGTTTCTGTCTCTTTGCTGCTGCAGCAGAAGTATATGAGGCAGTAGAGTGTCTAAATAGATTAAGAGGAGCAGCAAGAAAAGAAGCAGAAAAAGAAATAAATATTCTTATGATGAGTCTAACTGCACAACGAGCTGTAGATACACTCCGTGCTAAATTAGATTGTATTAATACACAATTAACACAATAAACCCTAAACCCTAAACCCTAAACCCTTGAGGAATCTAAACCCTAATAAGGGTTTATCTTTGTATTATAAACCCTTAATACAACAACCGCATCTCCTTTGCTGCTGCGCAATGCAGCAACATTAACGCTGCAGCGTTTCTGCATGCATGCATGCATGCATGCATGCAAATATGCATGCATGCAAATATGCTTGTATGCATGCATGCATAGTATTTGAATCCGCAGCAGATAGAGCTACCTATGTAGCTCTGTATTTTTTTCTTTGTTTACTAATATAAAGGAATAGAGTATTTAATTAATTATTAAATAAAAGGAAAAAAAAGCAATAAAAGGCATTTTATATATTAGTAATTAATATAAATATACTCTTTTTTAGTCCTTTTTTTTGTGACTTATTCATGGCTACATTTAGTATCTGTGCAATACTCTTACCTTATCTGTAGGTATATTCTTATACACATATATATAAATGTACATATGTACATATATGTACATATATATTATTGAACCTAATTAATAGAGGAGAATATTAAATTTAATGTATAGTTTATGATCTTAGAACTAATTTATAGAATATTTAATTTAATTAAGGAATATAGATGCGCATTTCGTGTCTAACGGTGGCGTGTCTATACAGCTACAAATATATATATGCTTTTATAGCTAAAAGAAGACATTTTTTGTTTAATTTATTTGTAAATTGATGGTTTGTTTACTAAATTTCTTTTTTCAATTTCCTTTTATATTCAACTTTCTAGTAAAGAAAGGGAATCAAAGGATGGTGGTGGGTGTGTTGTATGGCGGGCAACGAAGGGTCTCGTGCCTACATATAAAGTAGATGGAGACATGCACTATGACGATTCATTTTGCGTATCTTTTGTTGACCTATTAGAAAGATTACATAAAAAATGAATAAAATAAAAATAAAAAACATAAAATTACTTATAAATATTGGTGATATAAGAAGGAATCCTTCGCTGACTGAGGTGTATGCTTATACACCCCCAACCGGCTGTCCTGTGGACCACCCACCACCGAAGGTTTCCTTGTGTTCATTTTTGTGTATTTTTTGACTTCTTCTTGTTTAAATTATTGAATTATTTTGCAATAAGTTTGTTTAAATAATATTTTATATTTATTGAGGAAATATTGAAGGATTTCTTCGAAGTTTCCTTCTTTCCCGCCTATGATTTCAATCACCGGACCGCCAGTTGATTGAAGTGTTGTAGTTGCATGCGCGGGTAGTATTTTCCCTCTTTTTGCTTTAATTAGTTTGTTTTTATGGATATAATTTGAATAATAAATTACAATTTGTTTTTTCTTCTTTTTACGGTCCTTTATATCTTAATATATCTTAAGAAGATGTTGCAGGCGAATAAGGCGCACGTTATTGCCGCATTCACGCGGCAGAACTTGAATCTACGGCAACTTGAATTGCAATATTGGATGGAAGTTTTGAAGAAATTCGCGACTTTAGCGTCTTTTTTAGGAGGATTTGCATCAACAGTTCTACAGCTACAAAAGGGTATATTAGGGGGCCCTATTCTATTTCAGCTTATCTTCTCTATTACTGCAGCAGGGGCCCTTTGTCTTAACTTTATTGTTGTCGTTATTTGTACTACTTGTATTATATGGGGACCTGGCAAAGCTCTAACAGGACAAGGAGAAGAATCCTATAAAGTTGTAAGTCTTATTCAATAATTTATCACCCTTAATACAGCAAAAGAAGAAGAAGAAATAACTGTAGTAGTAGTAGTACTAAAGGGAGCTGCATATACACCCCAACTTTGCATGCATAAAAAGGCATTAAATTGCAGTATTTTCCATCAGACACAAAGAAGAAAAGGACATTCTCCCTTATCGTGTGTATGCATGTATATGTATATATATACATGTTATATATATAATATGTGCATATATATACATGTACAGTTTATATTTATAATATGTATATATACATAAATATATAAAATATACAATACATATATATGTAGGTAGATAAAGACCGCCAAGAAAGTTTCCTCTAAATAAATAATAATACTAACGACTTAATTAATACAGTTAATTAATACAATTAATTAATTAATTAATTAATTATATTTATTTATTTATTTATTTATTTATATATGTGTATACAGGTAATAGGAGTAATGGAGTCAGCATACAATCGTTCTGTTGTATTATTTAGATTAGGTACCCTTTGTTATTTATTAGGTATGGTGTTTGCATCTTTTTGTTTATTTTCTTTATTAGGAGGAATATTATTAACAATAAGTATAAGTATATTATTATATTATTTAATTAATTATATAAATAAATTAAAAAATAAATTTATACCTAATACATTTAATACAGGAGAATTAAGATGTAACCCTATTAAGAATATTGCTGGTCTTATGACTAATCATCAAGATCCAACATTATCTGGTCATCATCTTAATCTACAATTCTGCTCACAAATCTAATTTATTATTTATTTTATTGTTGCTCCTCCTCCTCCTCCTCCTCCTCCTCCTCCTCCTGCTGTTCTTCCTCCTGTTCTTGGTGCTTGATTGTCCTGGTTGTCTTGTTGTGGCGGTGGTGCAGCAGCAGAAACAGCTCCATAAATAACAGCAAAAAGAAATTGATGGTGCTGAAGGTGCATCACGTTATTTATTTCGGGTGTATAGGCAGCTTTATTCACTAATTAACTAGGTATTCATTTATTCTGTTTCTTTTCTTCTTTGTCTATTTTATTATCTTTTTATCTTTTTTTTTTCTTTTTATTTACTTGTAGAAAACACACAGAGAGTCTCTGATGGTCAGGTGTACATACACCTTATATGGTAATAAATAAATTCATAAAGAAGAGAAACAGATAAATTAAGTATTTTTCTTCTTTTTTTATTTATTTATTGCCATTAAAGTTAATTTATTTTTAATTGTAGTGAATAAAAAACAAATAAAATAAACAAAAAAACAATTTTTTCTTTTATTTTCTTTTTTTTTTATTTCTTTTTATGTAGCGTAACCTCTAGTGACCGACCCCTCTTCCCTCTTAGGAAATAAATCACTAATAATTATAATTATAAATATAATTATAATTAATTGGTAAATTTAATTTATATTTATGTTTTTATAATTAAATAAATAAATAAAAGGGATAAAATGCATGCAATTGGCATAAATTAAAACAAAAAGAATATGTATTGTATTTAGTCTCAGCTGCATATACACTCCAATGTTGTATGCAAAAAGAGGAGAAAATACAAACAAATCCAAGCTTTTTTCTCCTTTTTTTGCGCTAAAAAAGAATATTTAATTAGATTAAATATAAACTATTATAATAAAAAAAAAATAAAACAAAAATTAAATTAATTTTATTTTAATTAGAAGATAATTAAAAAAAGAAAATAATAAGAAATAGTGCTGATGGGTATGACCCGATACTATACACTGCGCATACACCGCAGAAAAAACAAAAAAAAAAAACAAAATAAAATTAAATAATTTATATTTAATTTATTTTTTATTTAATTTAATTTATTTTTTATTTATTTTTATTTATAAATGAAGAGAAAATAGGATATTAACAACGAGCATCGAAGTGACCTTTCTTC